GAGCCGCTGGCTCGGCTGGCGACAGGGGCAGACGCAAGCTGAGTCTTGCAGCCCAGGGGGGCATAGGGTTTAGGGAATGAGGCTTCAGTGCCTACGGTTTAGGGTTTAGGGTTTAGGGTTTAGGGTTTACTGTCTAGCTGCAGCTGAAAAGCCCTAATTGTGTGTCTCATCTCTTCCTCCAGCTGCTCCTTTTCTTTTGCTGCTCTCGCGAAGTCTCGAGACAGCCGCGCGTTCAGGCCCTGGGCCCGGTGCAGCTCCTGCAAACCCTAAACCCTAAACCCTAAACCCTAAACCCTAAACCCTAAACTCTAGGGGGTCCTACACCCTAAACCCGAAGGCCGCAGCCCCAGGCCAGAGCCCGTGGGCGCCGTAAGCCGTACATTCCAAGCCCCAAGCCCTCGGCTCCGGCCCCCGCAAACCCTAAACCCTAAACCCTAAACCCTAAACCCTAGGCAGAAGGGGCCCACCTGCAGCAGCAAACTGATGTTGAAGAAAAGACTCAAACGCGCGTCTGTCTCTTCCACTGCAGCAACAAGTCCGGATGAGTCTGCTCACAAGCGCATCAAAGAAGCCTGCTGCTGCTGCTGCTGCGACTGCTGTTGCTGCTGCTGGCGCTTCTGCTGCAGCTGCTCCTGCTGCTGATAGTGCTGCTGCTGCTGCTGCTGCTGCTGTTTGTGGCCTTCATGCAGCCGGCATCTGATGCACCTTCATTTCCTCTTTATTTTCCCCCGTGTTGCTGCAGCTGCCCCTGCCAAACCCTAAACCCTAAACCCCAAACCCTAACCCTAAACCCCAAACCCTAAACCCTAAACCACAAACCCTAAACGCTAAACCCTGGGCCGTGATTCCTAGCAGCAAGCTTCTAGGCCCCGCAGGTGCCGCACAGCCTGCGCCCTCCCGCACTGCAAACCCCAAACCCCAAACCCTAAACCCTAAACCCTAAACCCTACCTTCGGAGGGCAGTCTTCCAATAAGTCTGTCTAAAATGAAAGAAGTGGAGACAAACTCTCGACATTGGAAGCAGCGCAAAAGTGCAAAAAGAAAATCCCGGTCTCCTCGAGAAGCAGCAGACAGCAGCAGCTGCTGCGACCGAGACACACCCAGCTGCAGCTACAGCAGCAGCAGCAGCAGCAACAGCAGCAGCAGCAGCAACACAGAGACAACCGGCTGTCTTTTCGCTGGCTAGTTCTCTTTTGTTTTTCTTTATTATTTTTACTGCTTTTATTTTTTGAACTTATTTACTTATCTTTTATTTAGGAATTAATTTATTATTTATTTATTTATTTATTTATTATTTAGTATTTATTTGTTTTTTATATTTATGTATTTGCTTGCTTGGATCGGATGTTTGGTGGAGGCCCAAAAGGGCCACAAATTTAACAAATATCAGGTAAGTGACCCTAAACCCTAAACCCTAAACCCTAAACCCTAAACCCTAAACCCTTACTCGGAACAGCGTGGGGGATGTGGGGTCGAGCTCAATTATAGGCAGGCTTGAGGTGTACGTACACTCCAGCTTGCCCTTACTGTCATTATCTTGCCCTTCTTCCTCTGCAGCAAACCCCAAACCCTAAACCCTGAACCCTAAACCCTAAACCCTAAACCCTAAACGCTAAACCATCGGACACGGATTTTCCGCCTAATTGAGTTTCTCTGGTCTGCAAAGAAAACTTAAGAGGTTTAGGGCTGAGGGTTTGGGGTTTGAAACTAGGGTTTAGGGTTTAGGGTTTAGGGTTTACGCGGCAGCGTGACGGCGACCTTCTCCGCATTGACCTTCACCAAGATCCCCGTGCCGCTGGGGCTTCCCAAACCCTCAGCAGACGACGCCCTGAGCACACCCTAAACCCTAAACCCTAAACCCTAAACCCTTCGAATAGGCTCAGGAGAAGGTTTCCCGCACTCCCTCCGCCCTAAACCCTAAACCCTAAACCCTAAACCCTGCGAGCCGCCCTGCGGCGAGCGGAGGATCCCATTTTGCCCTGGAAACC